TATCACATTATCATTATTCACGACGAATCAATCATCATTACCACAAAAATCGCAATAAATCAACACCATAATCATTTTCGTTAATGTCATCACCATCATCATCGTCTTTATCACCATCAGTACCATAATTACTATCATTAATCTTTTATTAATATTCTCATCATCATCAACATTATCATCATCGTCGTCATCATCATCATCGTCTGAAAAATCTTCAAATTTTCCATCTGCACTCAAGCTACTTGACTTACGTGAACCAAACAACAGCAAAAACAACAACATCAACAACATCATCAACAATAACATCAGCAACAACAACATCAACAACATCAACAACAACATCAACGACGACAACAACATTACCAACATCATCAACAATGACATCCTCATAAACAGCAGACATTGTCATCAACAACAACATCATCGTTTTCGTCATCGTCAACATCCTCATCATCGTCATCAACATCATCATCGTCATTATTATAATTATAGTTGTATTAGCAGTTGTGATCGTTTTGGTAGTTGTTGTAGTAGTGGTAGTAGTTTGAGTAGTTGTAGTAGTTTTAGTTGTTTTTGTTGGCAAATTGTAGTAGCAGCAGTAGTTGTAGAAGTGTAGCAGTACTAGAAACACAATCACCAACAACAACGCGTCATCGTAGTCGATACATGATCAAATCATCATCAACATCAAAAAAGACGACAATCTCAACTCCATGACTTACTTACTGATCGTTTGAGGCAGTGTTCGGTTTCAAATGCAAGAAGATTCCACCTATCACACGCGTCAACTTATTCACATTTATTCACGAACAACGGCTGTGTTTGAAGCAGTTGATACTTTTGTATTTGAGTAAAACTTGAAAAAAAACCGTCACCACACCATCACCATCATCAGCTCATCACTATTATCAGTAGTAATGGTACTAACAATAGTAATAGTAACATAAGCAGTAAAAGCGGTAAGTAGCAACAACAATTTGGCGTTGATGAACTTGCTCTATCTCTGATAAAATCTTATGTAGATTGTAGATATCTAAGTTTTAAATTTTTGAAAATCTTTCCTCTCCTCGAGGTAGGATGAATGCCGAAGTCCCAAAAAGATCAGTCCCCGAGCGGATTTTATTGCAAAATTACATTCTCGCTATTAACGACATTTTTAGCGAATATATTTCTCAACGAGCTGATGGTACGCACCTACACATATCTCTGCTACCTCTGAAAACCTTGGCCACGATCTGTCCTTTCTACTTGTAAACTGGAAGGCATACGTCAGGGCGATTTTAGTCTAAAATTCCATGCTGTTAGTAGCTCCTAAGTTTCACTCTATATATTTGTTTAAAAATTTTTTTAAAATAATATCGATAATAAAAATTGTTAATGTGTGCCAACAAAAAAACTTTTGTCGCTTTATATGTTGCATTATGTTATAAAATCTGTATTATCGCTCGTTATAATGCATGCCCGTGATTGTTTATGGTGCTCATGCACGTATATAAGAGAGTAGTTAGTGAGTTTATAATTCGCTGAGACTTATTAATCTCAGTGACATATTTATATTTATTTAAAATGAATTTGATTGAGACGAGTTGCACGTTTTTTATCTAATCGGTAGCATTAAATAAAAGTACAGTAACTGTTATTTATTTTTATAATGTAGGTTCACTTTTGTTGTGACGCGTTCAAATCGCGAACGACGTCATCACAACTCTTGTTATTATCTACCGTAATTAAATTTTCAAGCAACAACAATAAAAATATAAAGTCAAATTTAAATGCTAATAAAAAATGAGAATAGCCACACTACTTATTTACATTTGAAATAATTCATCCGTCTGCAAGTTTTTTGAAATTTTGTAACAAAAAAGGTAAGTAACAAACCTTTTTGATTTAATCGCGTCAAATAAATTCACTTACAAATTTAAGGGCAAATAAATATTTAATTTATTATTAATTCTGACAAAAAGAACAAGAAAAAGAAAGGAACATCCTATCGTAAAAGCAGCAACAAAATGTTGACGGCAATAAATGGAAATGGTCTAGGAAGTCAAAGCGTTGTGAGTCCCTTGAAAGTTTCTGCAATACAACTACCTCAAAAACAACAATCCTTGCAACAGCATCCACTTCGAACGCAACAAAAACAAAATCTGCAACAATTTCAGAAATTGCAGCAGCCTCAGCAATATCATCAAACTCAGCAGCAGCTTCTTCAGTTGCAGTCTCAAACGCAACCACAGATTCAACAAAATCAGCTTCAGCAACCACCGCAGCTGTCCCAAATAATTCAGCAACCAATCGGCCAAAACATTGCAACTCAACCATTTCTCTTACCGACGATTTTGAGTCCCAAAGTGCCTCAAACCATTTCGACTTCATTGTTGCCAGTTGCACCAACAGTAAGCGCTTTCCAACAAAGGGTTTCATCTCCCAACGTTCAGAATGAGGATGGCAGAGTATCGTACAAATGGTGCGCAACTACTGGTACAAGCCAATATGAGCCTTCAGCAGATATTGAAGTGATTGTGCAAACAAAGCCTTCGACTAAAATTCAGCAACAACAAATTCAACAATTTCAACAGCAACAACTAAATCAACAGCAACAACAACTACAGCAAACTCAACAGCAGCAACAACTTCCGCAGCATCAACAACAACAGCTTAAAAAACAGCTTCCTCTGCAGCAAAAACTGTCAATGCCGCAAAATGCACAACGAACCGTTCAGCAACCTCATAATAAAATGTCGCAATTAGCAGTGAGACAATCACAGCCACCTAGTGAGCCACAAGAAATGAAGCAGCAACAATCAAATTTACAAAGACGCGTCATCAGGGATACTCAAAAATCATTGTATTCGGAACAACTTAAAAATATCTCCAGCGAACTTTTGCGAATTTCTCAACATCTAATGCAACAGTCAGACATTTTGCAGGAGAAGCTGAAAATGACGGATGTGTTTGAAAAATCTAACGAGGCTAGACGAAAACATTTGCAAAATCCATCAAATCTTTTAGTTTCCAAAACAACTCAGCAAAACATAGACCAATTGCAACAAAGACCTTTGCAGCAACAGCCACAAGGACTGGGGATACAGTCATTACCGCTACAGCAGCAAACTCCTCGAGAAATTATGTCTCCGCATTTGTTGCAACAGCCACAATTTCAACAACAGTTTCAGCAACAAGTGCAGCTACCCAAACAAAATAATTTGCAACAAATGAAACAACAACACCTACAAAGTCAACAACTGCAGCAAAATGTACAACAGATGCAACCGCAACAACAGCCGCAATATCAACCTCAACTGCAACAACAAAAGTTACAACCTCAACAACTTCAACAGGTGCAACGACAACAATTGCAGCAGCAACAACAACAATTGCAAAAACAGCTGTTTCAACAACAGCAGCTGCTACAGCAGCAACATTTGCTGCAACAGCAACAGCTGATACAACAGCAACAACAACAAACAAATCAGCTATTAAATTCCACTCTCGGAGTTAACAGCTCTAACAACGAACACGAAAGCTCTTATGAAGATGGAGATATCAACATCACCAAATGTAGCAATGGTACACACAGCGACGTTCTGAAAATTGAACATTACAATGAAAATGATTGCTATCTGAACAACATCAGTAACAATAACTGCGAGAACATAAACAATAACAACGATACCATGTCCAACAGTTGCAACGAATCAAGCGACGAGAAAACAAATTCCTTCAACAACCTGCTCATACAAGATCTCGGCATCATGCAAACATTACTAAAACAGCTTCAGCAGCACCATAAAGCATACCAGCAGCAAAAGAGAAGATCAAGACAGTCCAGATCAACTTCCGAAAATGATTTGAAAAAAATGTGTCAGGGAATGTCTTTGCCACCATCTTGCCAACCTCAAGATCAGCCAGCGTGTCCTAGACTTTCCCAAATGATGTTGACCTCAGGACTGCCTCAAACAAGCTCAGCTCAAGTCTTAACCGGAAGAAAAAATTCGGCTTTGGAAGCAATGAACCTAATGCAAATGAACAAATGCATGGCACCCGGATTTAGCGCCAAAACATCGTTGCCGCAACTAAGCAACTTTGATACGACTGGACAGCGGCTTTCGGCAACTGCATTTGAGTCTAGACAAAGTTGTGATTTGTGGCGAGAACTGTGCATGCAGCAGGAACAACAAAAATGCTTACAACAAAAAATGCAGAAGCAAGAAAAGCAACTATTTCCAAACATCAAACAAGATTCGAGGGCGCAGTGTCTTCAAACAACTGATTGTGGTGTCTTGAAACAGCTTCAACAACAGATTCAACAAAACATTGACGTTCTCTGCCAACAATTGCAGCAGCAAGATGCTCAACAGCAACAAAATTTGGTGCAACAACAGCAATTGGACCAAGAAATTTGCAAAGAACAGGCTCTGTTGGCGGAACTGTTGAAACAAGAAGAGGAATTGGCTCAGAATTCTACACAGAATAAACAAGAACATCTCATGAAAGTAGAACAACAAAAAGATATCTTTTGTAAACTTTTGCAAGAGCAAAAACAACAAGAGGAACTCATTCAGCAATGTCAAAAAGAGCTAGAATGCAGAATAGCGCA